AATTAACTTTTTGTATTCTAACTAATCTTCTTAACGAACTATTTTGTATTTTTACATTTCATTTATATCGAAAATAATATATTGATAATTGAAAGGAAATTAAAAATTGTCTTATTTAAAAAATGATGAAATTAACGAGATGCCCTCCTTATTTTCATTCGGATATTCGGATATTTTGATATTTACATAAATACAAATAGTAAAATATGTAAATATATCATTTTTTAAATAAGAAAATGTTTAATTTACTCCCAATCATCAATATATTATTTTCGATATAAATGGAATGTAAAAATACAAAATAATTCGTACACAGGATTAGGTACAATACAATAACTGATGTATTATCATAGTTTCAAGTTTTCATGTTTATCATAAAATTATTAATTTTTTTCAAACCAAGGTTTTAGTCAAAATTTCATTTGAAAATGCAATATTACTTGCATTTGGCCCAATTATAGATTAATTAGTAAATTATTGCAGTATATCTGACAGCAATTTCACAAATGCAAATAAGAATTTTATTCATCTTATTTCTATATATAAATTTTTCTAAGTCAGGCGTTATTGTAATGATAATTTTCTACCAAAAAAACATACATAAGAAAATGTATAAATAAATCTATTCTCGAGCGGTAGCGCAATACGCCTAAAATTTGTACCCTCCTTTTGAGATTGAAATTAAATTCACTTCTAAATGGATATTTGTCCAAATTAAGCATAAAATTTCTTCCATATTATATCATATATAGATTAATAAATAAATATTAAATAATCAGATTCTAAAAAATACTCTTCCTTTTACAGTAAATTTTTCAAGGTATTATTGCTCAATAATTTGTTTGCGGTGGGAAAAAATGTAAAATATTTGGTACATAAAAGATATGGTCCTTTGAATTTGAGCAATAATATTTTGAAAAATCTAACTGTAAAAGGAAGTGTATGTTTAAAAATCTATTATTATTTTTATTTATTTATTAATGTATGTATTACATAAATTATAAAGAAATTTTATGTTTATTTTGGACAAATATTCATATAGAAGTGAATTTTATCACAATCCCAAAAAGAGGGTAAAAGTTGTAAATATTTTTCAAAAACTTTCGCTATGAGATCCACTCTTCGGAATATTTTCCCAAAATAAAATTGAAACACCAATTCAATTTACCAATTTAATCAATTATTTATTATCG